GGTGTGGGGGTCCCGGGGGTCCCGCTGCGGGTCTGGGGTCCCGCTGCGGGTCTGGGGGTCCCGGGGGTCCCGCTGCAGGTGCGGGGGTCCCGCTGCGGGTCTGGGGGTCCCAGTGCAGGTGTGGGGGTCCCAGGGGTCCCGCTGCGGGTCTGGGGGTCCCGGGGGTCCCGCTGCGGGTGTGCAGGTCCCGGGAGTCCCGCTGAAGTTCCAGGGGTCCCGCTGCAGCTGCAGGGGCTGCGGGGGTCTTGCTGCAGGTGGGGGGCTGCCCGGGGCTCCGGGGGGCTGCGGGGATCCCACTGCAGCTGCGGGGGCTCCGGGGGGCTCCGGGGCTCCCCGGGGGTCCCCGGGCGCTGACCCCCGTGCCCCCCAGACGCTGGTGCAGCGGGGGGAGGCCATGCACTGCCCCACCTGCCACATCGTGGTGCAGAAGAAGGACGGCTGCGACTGGATCCGCTGCACCGTGTGCCACACCGAGATCTGCTGGGTCACCAAGGGACCCCGCTGGGGGCCGGCGGTGAGGGGGTCCCGGGGGTCCTGGGGGGGTCCTGGGGGGCTCTTGAGGGGGTCCTGAGATGAGGGGAGGTCACCCAGAGCTCTGCTGGGGTCTCGGGGTGAGGGGGGACCCAAAGGTGACAGGGGGACACAGAGTGACCTCACAGAGTGACCCCAGGGTGGGACACAGAGTGACCTCACAGAGTGACCCCAGGGTGGGGGGGACACAGAGTGACCCCACAGAGTGACCCCAGGGCAGGGGGGGACACAGAGTGACCCCAGGGTGGGGGGGGACACAGAGTGACCCCACAGAGTGACCCCAGGGTGGGGGGGGACACAGAGTGACCCCACAGAGTGACCCCAGGGTGGGGGGGGACACAGAGTGACCCCAGGGTAAGAGGGGGACACAGAGTGACCCCAGGGTAAGAGTGGGACACTGAGTGACCCCACAGTGACCCCAGGGTGGGGGGGACACCCCAGGGTGGCTCCTGCTGACCCCTGCCCTGTCCCCCGCAGGGCCCTGGGGACACGAGTGGCGGCTGTCGCTGCAACGTCAACGGCCAGAGGTGCCACCCCCGGTGCCAGAACTGCCACTGACCCCGGGACACCCCGGGGACACCCTGGGACACCCTGGGGACACCCCGGGGACACCCTGGGGACACCCTGGGGACACCCCCGCTGCCAGAACTGCCACTGACCCTGGGGACACCCTGGGGACACCCCGGGGACACCCCAGAGACACCCCGGGGACACCCCGGGACACCCCGGGGACACCCCGGGGACACCGAGGCACGGACAGAGACAGCTGAGGGCGCCCGTAGAGGCCACGTCCAGCGGGGACAGGACAGAGAGGATGGACACACGGACACAGGATGGACACAGGATGGACACACGGACGCAGGATGGGCACACGGACACCGGATGGACACACGGACATGGGATGGACACAGGATGGACACACGGATGCAGGATGGGCACACGGACACCGGATGGACACACGGACATGGGATGGACACACGGACACCGGATGGACACACAGACGCAGGATGGACACACGGACGCAGGATGGACACACGGACGCAGGATGGACACACGGACACGGGATAGACACAGGATGGACACATGGACACAGGATGGACACACGGACACGGGATGGACACAGGATGGACACATGGACACAGGATGGACACACGGACACGGGATGGACACGGGATGGACACAGGATGGACACACGGACACGGGATGGACACGGGATGGACACTGGGACGGCCTCGGGGCGTGGAGGGGCCGGGGGGCTCCAGGAGCCGGGGGGGGCACAGCCCAGGGGGCCCAATAAAGGCACCGAGTGTCACAGGCTGGCACTGACACCCGTGGGGACACACACGGGGACACGGGGACACCCTGGCACTGACACCCACGGGGACACACATGGGGACATGGGGACACGGGGGTCACTGCCACCCGCGGGGACACACACGGGGACATGGGGACACCCTGGCACTGCCACCCGTGGGGACACACACGGGGACATGGGGACACCCTGGCACTGCCACCCGCAGGGACACACACAGGGACATGGGGACACCCTGGCACTGCCACCCGCGGGGACACGGGGACACCCTGGCACTGCCACCCGTGGGGACACACATGGGGACACCCTGGCACTGCCACCCACGGGGACACACGCGGGGACATGGGGACACGCTGGCACTGACACCCGTGGGGACACACACGGGGACATGGGGACACCCTGGCACTGCCACCCGCGGGGACATGGGGACACCTTGGCACTGCCACCCGCGGGGACACACACGGGGACACCCTGGCACTGCCACCCACGGGGACATGGGGACACCCTGGCACTGCCACCCGTGGGGACACACACGGGGACACGGGGACACCCTGGCACTGACACCCGTGGGGACACACACGGGGACACCCTGGCACTGCCACCCGCGGGGACATGGGAACACCCTGGCACTGCCACCCGTGGGGACATGGGGACACCCTGGCACTGCCACCCGCAGGGACAGGGACACGGGGGTCACTGCCACCCGTGGGGACACACACGGGGACATGGGGACAC